GGTCACAGGTGCTGGCGAAACGTTAGGAAACAAGACTTCAAGACCACAGCCACACAGCCCGGAAGACCCACACCAGCCATCGTATGCTGGCCGTGAAAGCCTTTGACAATATATTGTATTAAGATATTTAATGTCATTAATAATTGTATAAGATGGGTTAGTTAAACTCATGAAAAAGTACATGCAATCATAAGAAATGGAGAAAAGATACACATTCATTTAACTAATTACGAGTTAACAGAATATGACTTTCAAAAAGTTGCCCGCGAACTGTGTTCTTTTAATAGCAGCCAAGAGTAGAATAGCCAACAGCATGAAAAGAAATAATATGAATAAATATGCATATTAAGTGAAGCCTATATGAAGCCTATACAAAAGGATAAAACTGTACAAAAATAGACAAATTCCTAACAATTTATTGTGAGAGAAGAAAGGAAAAAACATTCTGTATTGCACATACTGACATTTTCAGTGTTTGTCTATTAAAGTTTACCGTTCAAGCTTACACATTAATGTGAAATAGTCTTCTACATTTTAAATCACCATCTCATCCACAGAGATTTGAAAATTAGAACTCACAATTCATTTTTCACTCAGAGATTAAAAACAACAACCCTAAAGCATTAGTCTCACAGAACTACGGAAACACATCCCCCTACATATCAAATTGTTCTAAGAAGAAAATCTGCTCAGTTACAGTGGATCAATGCAATGCAGTAGACATTTATCACTACTGAAGAACCAGGAGAGACAGAGAATCTGGCAATGGAAAAATAACATATGATATTATTTGGTATTCTAATGAGTGTTCCAGGGCATATTTTTAAATTCATGTTGTGCCTAATTTAAGAATAATCCCAGAACACAACCAAACCTTGCTTGTAATTCCAAATGACAAGGAAACGATGCACAATGATGGATGAACTGCCACTACAATTCCAATTCCAAGAAGCAATACCTCTAGATGTTGACTATATATACACAATTCTCTCTCGATAGATAGATAGATAGATAGATAGATAGATAAAGATGGAAAACATTAATTTGTATAAAATTTGCATTTAAAAAAAACTGGCAGTAGCAATTTATATCTCTCTAGACTTTTTAAACTAAACATACCTATTCCCAAATAAGCACACATTTGGAATCTGACTTCAGATTCCATACTGAGTTTCAAAAGGATAATCAATTGAGGACACCTTAAATGAATTAAGTTTTGTAATTACCCAGTAGTTCCATGGCATCATCTTCATTGTCAATATCTTCTTCTGTTACTGAAGGAGTTGTGCTCAGTAGAGAATCAAATGAATCTTGTGAAAGCATAGCAGCCAGCAATTTCTTATGTTGTTGCTGCTGATGTTTCAGTCCTTTAGTCTTTGGTTTCATCTTTAAACTAGAAATAATTATTAATTAATCTCTTAGTCTCATTAAGAGCAACTATTTGCAGCCCAAAGAGAATCTATATATTTGATAGAGACTAAATAAATCAGTCATAACATAATTAAGTCCTTTTGATTTCATGGGAAGTTAAAGCAATCTCTGTAAACAGGATGTAGATTTAGCAATATAATAAAAATTACAGGTAATCCTCGCTTAACAACCACAATAGGGACTGGAAAATTTGCTGTCAAGTGGGGTGGTCATTACGTGAGGCATCGCATGACCGCACCCAATTTTACATTTTTTGTGGTCATTAAGCGAATCACATCAGTTGATAAGTGAATCACCTGGTCATTAAGCAAATCACACAGTCATCAAGTGAATCACGCAGTTCCCCATTGATTTTGCTTGCTGGAAGCCAGCTGGGAAGGTGGCAAATGGCAATCACATGACCCCAGGACACTGCAACCATTGTAAGTGTGAGCTGGTTGCCAAGTGCCCAGATCGTGATCACGTGACTGTGGGGGCACTGCGATGGTCATAAGTGCAAGGACCAGTTGCACATTACTTTTTTCAGCATTGTCGTAACTTTGAATGGTCACTAAACGAATGGACATTAAGTGAGGACTATCTATATTATAGTAAAAACAGTTATCCCAGACCATGTAAGATAAAATACATATGGAAATAGACTTCCTTATATACATGACAGAGAGACAGACAGAGCTTTATTTCAGTCATTGACCAATAAAAATATATTTAACAAAACAAGCAAAGCAAAATTATCCCCTAAGATCAATAACTGTTGGCAATCATTTGTGGGCAAAGACATTTGCTACTTTTAGATAATGCAAATAGATAATGCAAATAAAATTATCAGAACTGTGCTGTGCAAATAGTTACCATCATACAGAAGGAGCCCATCAGTGGAAACCACAAGTTTCAGAAGAAGAATAATGTTCAGAAGAAAAATAATGTCAATTCTGATGGCTTGTTTGGGGATAGGAACATGTCTTCATCAAGCATACCAATCCAACCATCATGGAAAGCAACACCTTTGTCCCATCTTTTCTGCCTACAGTCACCTTATTTACTTACAAGGTGGAGAGTAAAAATGTAATTGTGTTCAGCTAAACATGGTAAAATATATTCACAGAAGTGTGATAAGCCAAGTTTCCCAGTTTGTAGAATTCAGCTGAATAAAGATTTCTATGCTAGGACTTCTGGATAAATTGGAGCTGGAGGGCTAAAGTTGCCTTTAGTGCTTATCGGTTCTGAAACCCTATATCTTGAAGTCTTGATGACTGCAGTTGACATAATAGGCAGCCATATACTTAACAGTAATTTCCCAAGGAATGTTTAAAAAGGCCTGCAAGTACATATACAGAGTATACCAAAACTCAGGCCCCATAAGCCAATCACAATATGTTTTATTAATTAATTTTTTTCCCGAGAAAATGTTACTGTATTTAGGAACGTTCAAATGAGTAAGAAAGTGTTTAGAAGAAAATGGCAACCAATTTGAATATTTAATGTGATTTATATAATAGATTGTCTTTGGGCACTGAGTTTTGGTATACCCTGTATATATTTAAATGTCTTGAATTAAAATAATATACATCCACATTGTTTTAAAAGTCCTATAGTTTGATATATGCTCAAAGTCAGTAACTATTGTTACTAGTTCTCTGCACAAAACTGCATGTATCATTAGATCATTTAATAACACTACAGCGAATTAGATTGGAAGAATTTAATCAAAAATGTCCTTCTGCTATTAGTTAATTATATAAGAATGAACTCTTTGGAACTGATCCAATAAATGTCTGAATAGACAGTATAACCCAAAGATAAAGCCTATTAATTAAATTCTAGAAACTTATTTTAAATATTGAATTAGAACTAGAGTAAAAAAAACAATGCTTCTCTTCCACTGATGGACAAAGTACAAACTAAGACAATTTTGGGGGGTCTTTCCCCTTCCCAAAATGTGACCTGGGAACTTTGGGGTAGAAATTGCAGATTAGCATTAGGTAATGTCTTGGATAACTCTTCTTATGTATCACTAATGCTTACTGTATACATTTTGTTCTAACTACCGTTTCAAGAGATCAGTTGCTTAATCACTTTTCCCATTAGCTGCTTAATCACTTTTCTCTGCCCATCTTTGCATCACAAACTAATCCTATAGTGTACAAGTTTCAGCTCTATACTGAGAAGTATAGTTCAAAGAAGTGATCTAGGCTGCAGTACCAGCCTATTTGAGCCATGTTTGCTGACTATAAACACCAGTATTTTTCCAACAAACTTTAAAAATGCTTGCTCCCTAATCTGAGTAAATTTCTCTCCAATTTAGTCCTTGTGCAATTTTGACTAATTGTTCCCCTTGTCTTTTGATATCTTCTTTTTGTTCTCATTCTTGACCAGCCCATACCTTGACTATGTACCTGTTTTCTGATTCCCTGGGCCCTTAATTTTTTCTGTGCCTGTTTTGAAACTCAACCCATTCCCCTAGGCTTGGCCTACTTGGATTGGCACACGCTTATCTTCAAATGCAACATACAGTGCAGTAGTGTTTAACATGAATGCATGAATGCATACCCACAAATGTTCTTCTTGCTTAGGTAGAAATGGGCAAATGCTCTTCATCCTAGCAGAAAGAGAGATATCTTTGCAAATGGAACTGTGTCAAGGTTAGACACATGATCCTGGCTTTCAAGGCCCTACTTGCTAGGATGAAGAAAGCCAAATGATGGGATTTGCTCGCAATAATCCTCTCCTTTTCTCCTGATTATTAAGATAGCATCAAATAACAGTAATTCTGATAAAGAGCACTTGACAAATGTTTACTTTCTACACCTATCAACCCTCATCATACCTATCAAGATTGATAAATTATCATAGCTTCTTTCCCACCATTTAGCTGATCACTGTTAATCCTATTGGCAAAGAAACAGTTAAGGCACCTAGAGCTGAACAGTGAACAACTGAAAGCCACATGTGGCCTATAGGGTACAGATGCTCCAGATATGGCATAGACACTGATTGCACTAATTTTTGACATTAATGTAGTTGTATTTTTCCATTGTCTGTCTTACACATATACCTGAGAATGTACTCAAGAAATGAATGGAAGGTCCATGCTAATCTCTACTATGTTTGCATCCTGTATCTCTGTCCTAGACAAAGTATGCATAATGAGGAAAGCTTCTTATACAGCAAAATCAGCTAAAATTAACCTGCTGTATTTGGATACCAGACAGAAAGCAACTATCTCTAAATTATTCACCATAGCTGAAAAATGTACCTTCCTCCAGGACTGCTACTATCTTCACTATCCCACTGTTCCATTTTGCTTCTTGGTACTGGAGGCTGCAACATTTCATCAGCCAGTGGATCTGCATCATTTTCTTCACGTCCAATCCATTCTCCAACAACCCGAGGCCGAAGAAGTGGAGTATTAAAGGCTGCTGTTTCCTATTAGAGAGAAAATGATTACTACTTATTTGCAACAATATGGAGAAACAGAGGAATAAGTGCAAGCAATTTAAACATAATGATATTTTATAGAAAGATACAAAATACATGAAGGAATCTGGAAGACACTAGAGTAGGCGAGACTGTAATATAATATATAGCTTGAAGAAAAAATAACTGCATTTCTGGATAGCTAAAGTTATCCTTTGATTTTGATTATGTGCCATCAAGTTGGTGTCAACTCTTAGCAAACACACAGATAGATTTTCTCCAAGAGGATCTATCCCCAACCTTTAGGTTTTTTCAACAGGGTGCCCATTGTAATTAAGTCCATCCACCTTGCTGCTCATCATCTTCTTCTTTTTCTTTGCACCTTTCCAAGCACTATAGGCTTATAACACATAAAAACTGCATTTCTAGACCAGTTCAAAGAAATGTCTATCCCTAATGCTCCAGGATGATGTTTTCAATTGTGGCTAGTAAGTGTCCCTTAGAAAATCAAGCAAAGATTACTTGATTTTCCCCCTCCGTCCCTCCCTCCCTCGTGTTGTACAATATTTGCATCCAAAGCAAGTAAGGGTGTACCCTCTTTCTAGCTGTTAGATGTTCCTTTGGTGCCTGAACATATATTCTCCTGAGTCTGAACAGCTATCGTGCAAGGCCACAAAAAGGCACAGCTTCTTTAATGAGCAGGGTAGAGAGAGACTACCCATGCTAGATCTGAAGCATTCTTGTCCGCTGTGAATCCAAATACTATTCACCACTAATGTACATATCTCTAGACTCTGGGTGGTACAGAAAAAACTTAAAAACAATTCATACAATAAAGCATCATAAAACCCCACTGAACATAGAGTACAATAGCTTTCCCAAATCATAAAAGGATATAAGAGAAGAAACAGTGGCAGTCCAATCAATATTAAGCCTTGAAAGTCAGCCTAAATAAAATTGTTTTCATGGCCTTGCAAAATGACAGTAATAAGAGGGCCAGAGGTACGCTGCTCCCAAGTGTGGGGCCTGTCTATTGGTCCAGGACTTTACCACTTCCCAAAGGGGCAGGATTGTGATGGACTGGAATGGAGGAAGGGGGGTAAAAACGGTGCTCTCGTCTCCAGAGCAACGCTCTGGAGATAAGCGGAGAAAGCTGGCGCATCCCTTAACATTCCAGAAGATAGTAGAGAGTTGTGCCTGGGAACTGCTGGTCAGTCTGAGAAGATTTCTGTAAACAGGTGCTGGCAAATAAACCTTGCTGATTGAACCTGCATGGTCTCCAACATTCCAGAAGATAGTAGAGAGTTGTGCCTGGGAACTGCTGGTCAGTCTGAGAAGATTTCTGTAAACAGGTGCTGGCAAATAAACCTTGCTGATTGAACCTGCATGGTCTCCAGAAGTTCTTTGGGCTAGGCCTGACATTCTGGGAGATAACAAGGGCATGAGTGACTGTTCGAAGGGCATC